TTTTCCCTTCAGTCTGCAAGCACAGTTAAGTTTTATAAGTGATGAACCAAAGCTGGGAAAAAGCCCAACAGAGAGATCACTTTTTAAGCTATAGAAAGAGGGGTTTTAGATCCACTGATGAAGGCTGTCTTACAAGTATAAAATGTTAACCGGAAGAGTGAAGTGTAAAGGTATGTAGAGACTAAAGAGAAAGATACTGTTTCAGTCAGAGGAGAGGCTGAGAATTTAAAAGTTTAATATATTAAAAGTCATAAATTTCTGGGGATAGTATTTCTGTTGGGTTCATGCTGTTGTTTATACTATTTTGGCCATATTCACACCCACAGCTTTATTTACTGTTTTCCTAGTATCTTTCATTGCTGTCAGTGCAGGCATAGTAGTCACAGAAAGTCATCCAATCCTGCAACATAGGTGACCTTGTTTCTTTGGGAAGAAGAAAAAATATAAGAAAACATCTGTTTTTTTGCATGTTTGATGTGTTTGTGTGTGTGTGTGGTTACACTTTTAACTGATAATAAGTGAAGATAGATTAATGTCACCCAGGTTTTATAAAATCAAAGAAATAGAAATAATTTTAAAGACTTCTGGTACTTGAATGACTGTTGTTTTCTGGTCATTTAGTACATTTATGGAACCTCAGGAGGTTTGAGTTGAACAGAGGCAAGTTACAGGAGTTTTTTGGATGGAAGAATTCATAAGTCAGCATGTGAATCTTTTGATCTCATGTATTTGGAGTGGAGTATCATTAATTGTGTTTGTCATGGTTAAGGAATACAGAATTAATCTCCATCCCAGTCTCTTGCTATTCTTCTGAAAGCCTTTAGCTGCTGACACCATGAGCATAAGGAGGTATGTCTTCTGGCTTCTCTCTGGGTATGGTAGCTAAGTTACAGCTTAAATACAGCTTTGGAAAGATGAGCAGTTTGTAAGCAGCAAAAAAATAGTATAGATAACAAATGCATCGTCAACAAACAACTCAATCAAAAAATGGACAATGGCTTTGAATAGACTTTTCTCCAGAGCAAATATACAAATGGCCAATAAGCATGTGAAAAGATGCTCAACATCATTAATCATTAGGGAAATGCAAATTAAAATCACAGTCAATGAGATACGACTTCATACTCATTAGGAGGGCTGTTACTGGGGGAAAAAAAAAAGAAGAAAAACCAGAAAATAGGCCAGGCACAGCCTGTTTTGAGAGCACTTTGGGAGGCCGAGGTGCAAGGATCCCTTGAGGGCCAGGAGCTCAAGACCAGCCTGGGCATAAGCAAGACCCCTGTCTCTATAAAAACAAGCAAAAAACAGAAAATAACAAATGTTAGTAAGGGTATAGAGAAGTTGTAGCTTTTGCCCTGTTCGTGGGAGTGTAAAATGATACAGTTGCTCTATAGGAGTGAGCCACCGTGCCCAGCTTGTTGCAACAATATGCTGGTTCCTCAAAAAATTAAACATAGAATTACTACATGGTTCAGCAATTCCACTTCTGGATATATACCTAAAAGATTTGAAAGCAAGGTCTCAGACAGATGTTTGTACACCTATGTCCATAGCAGCATTATTTACAATAGCCAAGCTGTGGAAGCAACAAGTGTCCATCAGCAGATAAATGGATAAGCAAAATGTAGTATATGTGTGTGTGTGTATATACATAAGACAAATATATATATACATATATACATATATATACAGTGCAATATTATTCAGCCTTTAAAAGGATTGGAATTCTAACACATGCTACAACATGGATCAACCTTGAAGACATTATGCTAAATTAAATAAACAAAACAAAAGACAAATGTCTGATTCCACTTGTATGAGATTCCTAGAATAGCCAACTCAGAAAATAGAATAGTGGTTGCGAAGAGTTAGAGGGAGGGAAAATTAGTGTTTAGTGGATACGTAGTTTTAATTTGGGATAGTAAAAATTTATAGAAATGGATGATCTGGTGATAATTGCACAAGAATGTGAATATACTTAATGCAACTGAACTTTATGTTTAAATGTAGATAAAATGGTAGTTTTTATTTTTTTTAGTTGGGGTCTGTCTCCTGTCACCCAGGCTGCAGTGCAGTAGTACAATCACAGTTCACTGTAGCCTCAACTTCCTGGGCTCCGGTGATTCTCCCACCTCAGTCTCCCAAGTAGCTGGGACTGCAGGCACACACCACCACACCTGGCTGATTTTTTGTATTTTCAGTAGAGACGGGGTTTTGCCATGTTGCCCAGACTGGGTGTGAACTCCTGGGTTCAAGCGATCTACCCTCTTCAGCCTCCCATAGTGAGCCACTGTGCCTGGCCATAAAGTTTATGTTATGTATATTTTACCACAATTTTAAAAAGTGTTTCAACAAGCTGGGCACAGTGCCTCACTCCTATAATCACAGCACTTTGGGAGGCTGCGTGGAAGCATCACTTGAACCCAGGAGTTTGAGACCAGCCTGAGCAACATAGGGAGACCCCATCTTTACAGAAAAAAAAATTTTTTTAATTAGCCAGGTGTGGTAACCCACGCCTGTGGTCCCAACTACTTGGGAGGCGGAGGTGGGAGGATTGCTTGAGCCTGGGAGGTCAAGGCTGCGGTGAGCTGTTGATCAGACCACTGTACTCTAGCCTGGCCTACAGAGTGACACCTTGTTTCAAACAAAAAAGTTTCAACAAAAAGTAAATAGAAATCGTACAAAGGGCATCTCTATTCCCTTTACGCAAATTTACCTATTGTAATATTTTACCCAACTTGTTTTATCATTTGTGTGTGTGCGGTCATGTGTGCTCTATATATACACATGTAGACATGTGGGCACACTTTTTTTCTGAATCATTTTAGGGTGGATTATATGCATCATGGCTGTTTACTTCTAATTCAGGAAAATTTCTTAAGAATAGACATATTCTTGCCGGGCGCGGTGGCTCAAGCCTGTAATCCCAGCACTTTGGGAGGCCAAGACAGGCGGATCACGAGGTCAGGAGATTGAGACCATCCTGGCTAACACGGTGAAACCCCGTCTCTAGTAAAAAATACAAAAAAAACTAGCCGGGCGAGGTGGCAGGCACCTGTAGTCCCAGCTACTTGGGAGGCTGAGGCAGGAGAATGGCGTAAACCCGGGAGGCGGAACTTGCAGTAAGCTGAGATCCGGCCACTGCACTCCAGCCTGGGCAACTGGGCGAGACTCCGTCTCAAAAAAAAAAGAATAGACATATTCTTGAGCTGCGCGCGGTGGCTCATGTCTGTAATCTTAGCACTGTGGGAGGCCGAGGCGGGTGGATCACCTGAGGTCGGGAGTTTGAGACCAGCCTAACCAACATGGAGAAACCCCGTCTCTACTAAAAATACAAAATTAGCCGGGCGTGGTGACGCATGCCTGTAATCCCAGCTACTGGGGAGGCTGAGGCAGGAGAATCGCATGAACCCGGGAGGCGGCAGAGGTTGCAGTGAGCTGAGATCACGCCATTGCACTCCAGCGTGAGCAACAAGAGGGAAACTCTGTCTCAGAAAGGAAGAATAGATACATTATCTTAACTGTTGTGATTATGTACCAACTTCACAAATTTACATTGATACAATAATTTAATACCCTCTGAATTCCAGTTCTGTCAATATTGTTTTTTATAGCATCCCCACCTCCACCTGCTGCAGTATGGAATACAGTCTAGAATAGAGTATTGCATTTATGCAGTGTCTCTTTAGCCTCCATTTGTCTTTTATGATATGGACGTGTTTTAGGAGTATAGTACCTCTTTCCCCTTTTTAAATAGACACTTCCTCTTTTTCTGAATTGAAGTTATGGCTGAGTGCGGTGGCTCACACCTGTGATCTCAGCACTTTGGGAGGCTGAAGTGGGAGGATTGCTGTGCCTAGGAGTTCAAGACCAGCCTGCGCAACATGGTGAAACACCGTCTCTACTGAAAATACAAAAAATTAGCTGAGGGTGGTGGCACATGCCTGTAGTCCCAGCTACCTGGGAGGCTGAGGTGGAAGAATCACCCAAGCCCAGGAAGTTGAGGCTTCAGTGAGCCATGATCACACCACTGCACTCCAGCCTGGGCAGTGGAATAAGACCCTGTCTTAAAATACATACATACATACACACATACAAATTGAAGTTATGCTGTCTCAGTCAGGAAACTGCATAAGTGTTGTATCCTTCTCAGTTATCACATTTGGAAACTCAATACAATTTCATCTAAGTGCATAATGAGGGGAATCAGCAAATGCTGTAGGAGATGGGGAAGACATCATTGGAAAGGAACCTGATTTGATAGCATATTTCTAACATTTTACCTATTTTCCACCAGTGTCAAATTTTGCATAGTTCAGCTAGTCTGTATTACTGTTTTATGCCAGTTTTAAGCTCCTGTATTAAATATAAAGAGAATATTACTGATTTCTGTTTTTAAATTTAATGAAATCAAGTGTGTCTTTCAAATGGTGATCAAGTTTCTACTGATTATTACCATAAGGTTCCCCCAAAAGATTTGGATTGCTATAAGATGACATGGAACTTTGACATATGAGAACAAGTCTTTATTCTCTTCCTGGTTTCATCAAATATGAGTCAGACTGACAAGTTGTACTCTCGGCTTTGCCGCCATTCTAGAACCTTTTAGCTCCCCTACTTAAGTTACAGAAAGCTGCTGAAAGGAAAGTACTTTTCTTTCCAATACCTTTTGTAGAATATATAAATAGTGGTAATGCTGATGTATCTATCCTCAATGCCATTTTTCTCTTCCAGGCTGTCTTACAAAAATTATTCAAATTTTGCATGCGTAGGTAACAGGATACTTGGCAAAATATGATTAAAGCAAATATCAGTTTACTGTATTTCTTGGTATTTTTCTTCTCATAGGAAGCACTGGTTGACACAGTTGAGCTATATTTATTGGCTATAAGTAGGAGAGCCAGAGGTATATTTCAAGCCGTTATTATTTGTAAGATTATTTCCTTCCCATATACCTTCTGCAAATGATTCCTTGGACTTTGTGCATTTTGTTTCTGCAGTTTGAAGAAAACAGGTCTGAAACAAGGTCTTACCCCCAGCTGCCTCTGAACACAGTGACTGCCAGATCTCCAAACATCAAGTCCAGCTTTGTCCGCCAACCTGTCTGACATGTCGGGACCCGTGCCAAGCAGGGCCAGAGTTTACACAGATGTTAATACACACAGACCTCGAGAATACTGGGATTACGAGTCACATGTGGTGGAATGGGGGTAATTGTTTTTGTTGACTTCATTATACTCACTCAAAGGGCTGAATCTTGTGGATCTGTTGAGTAGTTTTTGTCAGAAAACCTCCGTGACTCTGTATGTGTATACCTCAAGATCAAAGCCCAATTTGTGTTTTCTTCTTTTGAGCTGAAAATTTGGTTTTGCAGTGAAGAAGCAGAGTTGCTTTGGCAAGTGAACAATTTTAATGGGCTTGCCATTTAAAAATCATTTTAGTTTCTTATCCTTTTCTCTGATTTATATGCAGTCATGCACCACATAACAACGTTTGAATTAATGACAGACCACATGTAGGCCAGTACCATAAGATTATAAGAGAGCTGAAAAATTTCTGTGGCCTAATGATGTCATCGTAACATCAACAATGCATTCATTACCTTTTCTATGTTTAGGTACACAAATACCATTGTGTTACAATTGCCTGTTTATTACGGTACACATTTGTATCCTAGGAACCATAGGCTATACCCTAGGTATGTAGTATGCCATACCATGTAGGTTTGTGTAAACACTCTGATGTTTAACACATTTCTCAGAATGTCATTAAATAACTCATGACAGTATTCTATACAGGCACCTGGCAACAAAAAGTTACCTATCAGCTTGCTTATCAAGCTAAGGGTATTGCAGATCAGTGAGAGTCGATACTTGAGAGACTTTGAAAACACCAAAATCTTACATAAAGTATTTTGAGGTAGAGAATGTTGTTTCATGTTGATACAGGAGGATGAAACAGTTCTCCAAAAAGGTAACTTCTTTCTGATGAGAAGCAGAATTAAATTCTTAAACATTTGCCCTTATCCTGAGACTAGGCATGTCTTAACATGGAATTCAGCCCAAATTCTATCTTGAACAGTTGTAATCTGCCTGAGCAGCTGTGTTTGCCCTCCTAATTCTCTGTACAGACTCATTTGGATGTTTGCATTTCCTGTCCCAGTGTGGTAGACATTTAATTGGTCAGATCATACTTGTGTGATAAAAGCATTTTGATATTCAAGTGCAAAAGAAAGCAATTTGAAAACCAAAGCTGCAGCTCTTGTATGCTGTATTTTATATCTGACTGCATGTGATTTCCATAACCTGTAAGTGGTTAGTGGATGCTTTCCTAAATTGTCATAGGGTGTATTTTTAATCTTGAGTATGTCATGATTTTTGTGTGTGTGTGTGTGGAGATGAGTCTTGCTCTGTCGCCCTGGCTGCAGTGCAGTGGCGTGATCTCAGCTCACTGCGACCTCCGCCTCCTGGGTTCACGCGATTCTCCCACCTCAGCCTCCGGAGTAGCTGGGATTACAGGCATCTGCCGCCCCACCCAGCTAACTTGAGTATGCCATGATTCTTAACAGTAAATACATTGCTTCTGAATACAGAGACACTGTATGCTGTAAAGACACCATTAAGTGCCAGTGTGGTTTACTACCAATAAATGTTGTTATTACTGATAATCTAACAGTTTTCCGTTTATGTCACAGGCTTTGGACTCTAGGTAACACTGTTTACTATAGGAATTTCAACTGCTATCTTCAAATTGAGTGCTTTGCACTTAGTTCTGCTTAAATGGCACTAAAGAGCCCTTTTGGGCTTTTGACATGGTACTGTTCGTTTGCTCGCATTTGTTTTGTATACCCTCCCATAGGAAGAGAACTCAGACAGAAAGAAGTAGGAGCTTTCTTCCCCTAGACCTGCCATGATTATAATGTTGTCCGTTGTTTCTAGTACCTTTTGTCTTTTCATTCACTTTCTTTTTAGCTACTTGAGGAAAATGAATGGTTGATATGGTTGATTTGGTTCATATTGGATACTTAGTAGCTCCAGCAGGAGTAGATAGAATTTAGGCCTTAATGGAACTGTGTTTGTCATTCTTCAGGGCAAAGCCCTCTACATTGAAAGCAGGCAGGGGCAGGAGGAAAATGTTGGCATTTCCCTTATTCTACCTCTGTTTATTACCTCTGATGTTGCTTATTGGTCACAGAATATGGGTGTAAGTAGAGGAGGGGACCACTGACTATAGTTTACAATCTATAGTGTGCTCTGTGAACTTTACTACACATGTACTATCCCCAGAGCTTGCCCTGGAGGGCAAATAGATTAAGCTTATACATTTGAAAGCCATTTACCTTCAAAGAGGCCTGTTAAAAATCAGCTGCTGCCAAAGTTAGCTAGATTGAAACAGTCTTGCAAAATATTTTGAGTTCCTGCTAAGTGCCAACACTGGACCAAGCCCTAAGGGACAAGAATATATAAAAATTATTCTCTTGGGGAAAGCTGTCTCTTGTTGGAGACAAACATATTCAGAACAAACCTTAATACAAGCTAGCTCCATGTCATGTGCCAATAAAGATGTAAACAGTTTGGGATTTGAAAGAACAATTGAAAGGTGTAAGTTTTTCTAATTCTAGGATTTGGAACATGTATTTTTAAGTGGCCTAATTAAAAAAAATACAATGAAACCAATTTGGGAATTATTTGAAATACCTCTTATTTCTTTTACACCTGCTGGCAGTAGATTCCTGTAAGTTGAATTGATGCTTGATAATTTGACCATTTATAAGTCATTTTGTTTGTATCCACAGAAATCAAGATGACTACCAGCTGGTTCGAAAATTAGGCCGAGGTAAATACAGTGAAGTATTTGAAGCCATCAACATCACTAATAATGAAAAAGTTGTTGTTAAAATTCTCAAGGTGAGTACAAGAGATAATTTCAGAGGTATTTGGAATATAGATTTTTAAAAATAGTTGTGAAGATTGTGAAGACTTTTTTAAAACAGCGTTTTAAAAGTTTTTGGTGCCAAAGCAAATAAATAAAATTTTGTTGTATACTGTGAACTCAATAGAACAAGTTCTGCTTATTTGACAGATCAGGAAACTGAAGCAAGAGAAGTGATTTGAGTTGACTTATATTGCTAGGTTGTGGCAGAGTAAGGGAATAAAGGTACAGTCTCTTCTCTCCCAGTTCTTGCCTAATACTTATTTCCTATACTTTTCATTATATAATGAGGCTTTTATTTTCAATAAATAAATAATTGCCTCTACTTTGTAAGGATGAGGAGTCGCAGGACTTAAGGGGGACAGACAGATGATATCAGTGCAGCTAGTCTGGTGTAATTGCCCATGCTTAGATGTGAGTGATAGGGACTAAAACAAACTGGGAAACACATGCCTCTTCAAAAGGAGTTAGCTGCTTCTCAGCTGAAGCTGATGATTGCCCTGCAGTAATGCAAGTCCATTGTTGCTTCATACTCTGTTTTGCAAAGAAAAACCAGAAATTTATATTTGTATATGAATTCTCCTGACTTGTGTTGGCTCAAGATTTAAAAAGACAATGCACAGGCCAGATTTGGCCTCTGGGCTACCAATATACAACTTTTAATTTAGTTATAACTATGCTGTGCACTGTCTTATATTGGGAACTTAACATACAGTTCCTTACCACAGGAACTTTTTCACATTTGACACTGAAAAGTAGAAGTTTCCAAACTTTCTCAATTTATAACACTTACACTATCTTAGTAATTTTTCATGGTACTCGTAAGTCAAGAAATACCTCATCTGTGTATTAAGTAGCAAGGTCCAAATAACTAAGTAAGTTTTATTTATTTATTTATTTATTTATTTTGTTCTTGTTTTTGTTTTTGTTTTGAGACAGAGTCTCGCTCTGTCACCCAGGCTGGAGTGCAGTGGCGAGATCTCGGCTCACTGCAACCTCCGCCTCCTGGGTTCAGCAGTTCTCCTGCCTCAGCCTCCCGAGTAGTTGGGACTACAGGTGCACGCCAGCATGCCTGGCTAATTTTTGTATTTTTAGTAGAGATGGGGTTTCACCATATTGGTCAGGCTGGTCTGACACTCCTGACCTCAGGTGATCCGCCCCCCTCGGCCTCTCAGTGTGCCAGGATTACAGGCATGAGCCACTGCACCTGGCCGCTAAGTATTTCTATTTTAACAACTTGGTAGCCATTTAAAAAGTTACTCACATAAATAAAAAGAAAAATAATAATTTTATTCTTAGTAACTATAATTTATTACCATCGGGTTATGTAGACCTGTTACTGCATAGCTTTTCAAATGTTGTAATCGGATTGGACACCACCACCCTCATATCCTGTCATTGATTTTTGCGCAGTACTTGCTTTTTATCACAGCAACTACTGCAAACCCAACTTCACAAAAAATATGCGCCCTCACAAGGAATATAATACAATCTAATGTTGAAACTACGAACTACCTCAAGCTGGTAGTGCACCCAGTGTCTTGACAGATGCAATGATTGATTGGTGTGTTTTCCTCAAAAAATTAAAGTATTCCACAGTACTCCTGTGCATTGCCGGGGTGCCTCACATGCCATTTGAGAACCAAAGAGTTTAAGTATTTATATCTCTCTTGAAATATGTAGAAAGAGAACTAGGTTGGAAATCAAAACATTTGGGTGACTAGCCACAGTAGTCCTTTTAACCTAGGACATGTTTATCCATCTATTAAAAAGAATGTTGGCTGAGTGTAGTGGCATGTGCCTTTAGTCGTAGCTCCTCGAGGGCCTAAAGTGGGAGGATCGCTTGAGCCTGGAAGTTGAAGGTTGCACTGATCTGTGATGAAACCCACTGCACTCCAGCCTGGGCGATGGGAGAGAGACCCTGTGTCGAAAAACAAAAAGGATTAAATACAAAATTGTGTGCATATATACATGCCTTGGAGACTAGAGTTCTTTATGATTGTATGGTGATATTCATATGGAAAGGTATATGATAGAATGAGGTGATACATTATTATTTAGAGCCACATGAAAAGCATGAATAGTGGGTCTACAGTTCAGAAGAAGGTAGTAGTTAGGAAAAGCTCCCTGGAGCTGTCTTCAGGCTAAATGGGAGGAGGATTTGGATAGGTGTTGGGTGGAAGTGGTGAAGGGAAGCAGGCTATAGAGTGCACCAAGATAAGAAAAGAGGAAGAGGGAAAAGTGAGAGAAGTATTTCGTGTGAAAGATGTTATGTGACCATATGTAGGAGTTGAACTTGGAAAGAGAGATTAAGTTGGTGAAGGCCTGGAAAAAATCTCTGCATTTCCTTGCAGTCTTAAAATTCTGACTTGTCTCTTGTAGATAATTGTGAGCCCTTGATGGTTTTGAGTGAAGGGTGATTTAGAAAGATTTTTTTCAGCTCAGTTTTTCTAACTGTATTGTATATTTTACTGTAACTGTGGGTAGGTGGTGTAAGTATAGATGAAGTTCCTTCGTAAACCATATTTAAAATTTTTCATCTCCCCTATTTATTTAATAAGAAAAAGTTGCATTGATCACATTAAATTAGGGCCTGAGTCAGCTGCCTGGTCTGTCACAAACCAGCTTTTTAAGTTTATAGATTCGAAGGATTCTGTAGAATAGTTTTGTCAACCAGAAGCTTTTTTTCCCACTAAAAAATCCAGCAATTGGGTTAATGAAAAACAGTAGGTAAGTTGTTGGGTTAGTCTCTGCAGGGTAGAAAGCTCTCCCAGCAGGAAGAGAAAACTTCTATTATCTTGTTTCTTAGGTAGATATTGTATTGGGTAAGAGGTCGTGGGTTGAATTAAATGTGGACTACATGGAAGTCATCAGTAAAATAGCTTCTATTTATTGGGTACCCCTTTGCATTGGACCTATTCTAACTGTGGTATGTAAATCACTGACAGGCAAGTGTAGTCCCTTTCAGCAATGAGAAACATTTAAATGCTTTTCTGAACACTGCGCAACCACAAAGCCAGGTTTTGAGAACTGTCAAAATCTGCTTGCTTTCTGCTACCATGTGCTTGAGGCTTAAGACAAAGTTAAAAGAATTTATAGTATATTATTTAGTAGTTTCTGGACCTGGATCATCAGCCTGGAAAGTATCTAAAAATAAATACCCCGTTTCCCTCTCAAGATTCTGATTTAGTAAATCTTGGTGGGTTCTGTGAGTCTGTATGTTAAAAAAATCCAGGTGATTGTTGGTCATCAAACTTTAGTAACTACCAATCTTGTAAATGAAGAGATGAGATGTATTTAACTTCTAAGAGTTCTATGCAGGGCATCCAGTCTGAGGTGACCAACACTCTCGGAGGAGACCTGCACAGTCCACTACAGCAGGCACACAGGCCGCATGAGGCTGTTAGGCACTTGAAATGTGGCTGGGCTGAATTGAGATATGCTGTAAGGGTAAAATATATTAGATTTCAAAGGTTTAATACAGAAAAAAGAAGGTAAAATAGATTAGTAATTTTTTACATTGATTTATATGTTAAAATAAGATTTTTAGATTAATAAAATACATTAATTTTGTCCTTTTTTAAGTTTCTTGATGTGGCTACACAAGAAACACATTTAAAATTACACATGTGGTTTGCATTGTATTTCCTTTGGTCCAGGACTGTTTTAGACTATTCAGGAGAAGGCTTTATAAGCCCAGGCACGGTGGCTCATGCCTGTAATCCCAGCACTTTAGAAAGCCAAGGCAGGTGGATCATGAGGTCAAGAGTTCGAGATCAGCCTGGCCAACATGGTAAAACCCATCTCTACTAAAAATACAAAAATTAGCCAGGCGTGGTGGCATGTGCCTGTAATCCCAGCCACTCCGGAGGCTGAGGCAGGAGAATTCCTTGAACCTGGGAGGTGGAAGTTGCAGTGAGCTGAGATCGTGCCACTGCACTCCAGCCTGGGCGACAGAGCAAGACTCCATCTCAAAAAAAGAAAAGAAAAGGAGGAGGCTTTATAAAGGAGGTACAGTTGGACCAAGGCCCTCCTCAGAAAAAAAATGGAAAGGATTCCATACTAGAACAGATGTGGAAAGGATGGGTGAGGACAAAGGAATGTTTAAGATACACTCTGCAGAGTACTCTTTTTAGAATGGAGGGATTCATTTGTAAGAGTATTGGCACTTTAGAGGCTGAGGCAGGCAGATCACGAGGTCAGGAGATCGAGACCATCCTGCCTTACACGGTGAAACCCCATCTCTACTAAAAATACAAAAATTAGCTGGGCATGGTGATAGGTGCCTGTAGTCCCAGCTACTCGGGAGGCTGAGGCAGGAGAATGGCATGAACCCGGGAGGTGGAGCTTGCAGTGAGCCGATATCACGCCACTGCGCTCCAGCCTGGGCGACAGAGCGAGACTCCACCTCAAAAAGAAAAAAAAAGAGTATTGGCAATCAGGCTAGACAGTTATTATGTTATGTTCCAGCCATATTCTGAAGTCTTTCAAATACCTCTTTTGATTCTTGGAACAATCTTATGAGATGGGTACTCTTGTTATTCATTTTACACTTAACGAAAGGCTTAGAGAGGTTATGTAGTTTGCCATTACAGCTAGCAGGTAGTAAAGGTAGGTTTCACATTGGGCATTATGACTCCAAGACCCACACTTTACCCTCAGGGTTATGCTACATAAAGATGTTTTGACCATCCTTGTTGTTGGCCCTGATTAGAGGAAGAAATGGAAAGGGCCCATGTTTCATCCTAATTGATAAAAAGCTTTTCAAGATATTCTTTAGTATTACTAACCATTTAAATTGCTACTTTGTAAGGTTTTAAGACATTAACATGTTTAACATGTTTTAAAACATGAACATCAAGACTGATGATTGAAATACTAATTCTGCAGAAGTCTGGTCTTTGGAATAGAAATCTTTTTTTCTTTCAATTCAACGTTTGTAAGTACCTGCAGAATACCTGGCACAGTGCTAGGAGAAGGATTCAGAGACGCATGTGACATTTTCTTCCTTCAAGGTGCTCATAAGTAAGCCATTTATGTATTACACTACATGTTGAAATACTCTGAAAAAGAGTGTCTTTTTTTTTTTTTTTTGCTGATGTACTTTTCCCCTTTCAGCCAGTAAAAAAGAAGAAAATTAAGCGTGAAATAAAGATTTTGGAGAATTTGAGAGGAGGTCCCAACATCATCACACTGGCAGACATTGTAAAAGACCCTGTGGTGAGTATAGTAGGTGTTAGCAAGGCCCACCGGGGCTGAGATGGTGTTTGACCTGGAGCACAACTGGCCTCTTTTTGTTCCCTCCCCCAACCCTCATCATTAAGTCCTGCTTTGAAAGTGCTTAATCAGATATACCATTTAACTAGCTTGGGTCTTTCTTTCAAAGAGACCTCCACCCACAGACTATTTCTTATTCTTCTAGGCTAAGAGACTGATAGCACTGGAAACTGAAATGTGTTAATCCATTTTGCAAACTCAGGTCCGATGCCGATGGGCGATGGGCGCATTGTCGGGCTGCCTAGAGCCTGGTGAGACTTCAGCTCCATGTCTTCTGTTTGAAATCCATCCCAAAAATGACCTAAGTGTGGTGATAATCAGAGCGGGGAGGGCTTGTAGCAATAGAGGGTTTCTTACTACTGAGGCGAGGACTGCCAAATTCACCATGCAGCATCCGCAAACATTGTCCCCACTAAAGCTGTCAGGGCTATTGCTAATGTGTGTTTTTGTTTTTGTTCTTTTCCCCTAGTCACGAACCCCCGCCTTGGTTTTTGAACACGTAAACAACACAGACTTCAAGGTATAATATATAACCAACTGTTTCGGGCTAGTGGGTTTTTAGACCACATAGCCTTTGGGGATGATGCTGTTAGAAGAACTTGCTTCGAATTTGTTTTTAAAAAGATTTTCATCCTTACAGTGCAAATTAAGATAGAAGAACTCCTATACAAGCAGTGTCCACTTTCTGCATCTTGATATTTTGCCCATTTGTTTAATGTTCTTTTTAATGACCAATACATTTACTTCTCACTACTTAGTTGACAGTTTCTGCTGATGTTCAACCTAATGAAGGCAGCAACACATGTTCACTTAGGATCTGGCCTCATGGCATTCGCTTTAAACAATAGTGTTCAGGAAGAAATATATTGTATATATAAAAATAGGGACTGCTTATTTCTTAGGATGGAACTGTGGGCGATAGATCTTAAAAGGCAGGGATCGAGGAAGGGTAATGTCAAATTCTGCCATAACAGAAACCTCTATAAGAGATATCTTAGAATTCCAGTCTATCCAGTGGCCTACTTAATTTCATACAGTTCCAATTTTACAGAAGAATGTAGCTACTCTTTTGGAGTAAAAGTTGTAGAAGATCTTTGATTTGCCTTTCCACTACTCCAGTATACAGAGTGTTATACATTAATAAATTAGTGAATTCTTTTGCAGAGATAGGGAAAAAGGAAGAGGAGCTGTTTTAGAGTCGGAATGATAATTTCAAGAAAAACTTTGTCAGAAGACATTGCTAACCATTTAAAGAGATGTACATGTGGCTGGGCATGGTGGCTTACGCCTGTAGTCCTAGCTACTGGGGAAGCTGAGGTAGGAGGATCGCTTGAGCCTAGGAGTTTGAGGTTGCTGTGAGTTACGATTGCAGCACGGCACTCCAGCTTGGGCAACAGAGTAAGACGCTGTCTCAAAAAAAAAAAAAAGACATGTCCATGTAAAAAGCATTCTGCAACTCTTTGGAAACTGGAAAGGATACATAACAGTAGTTCACAGAGTTTACTTTCCTATTGGAACAAGAATAGTTTTTTAAATTGACTTAACAGGTTTGGCATCATGCCATCTGCATACCCACTGGTGATCTGCAGGGCTAACTATATAAGCCAAAAATGAGTTAGTTCCCTAGTAAGGAGGCAGTATATTTGCCAAAATGTCTTTTTTGAGAAGGTCTGAAGATAAAAACAAACTAAATTATAGGTGTGTATCAGTGCATATTAACGTATCTAGATCGGTATGTTTCTAACAGTGGATTATAGCTTCTGCAATATATGTTTAAGTAATTCTTCACTTTTAAGAGTTGAAGACCCAGAGTATCTCTTTAAAATTAATGTAATGTTGGAGAAATAGAGAGCAGTGAATGGACAGATCTTGGAACAACGGTAAATGAGCGAAGTCTTGGTTTGAATTACTGTGGGTGAGGGTGAAAAATGCCTTTCTGTCAGCATTATTTCATGGCTCAAACATTTGTCTTTAACAGCAATTGTACCAGACGTTAACAGACTATGATATTCGATTTTACATGTATGAGATTCTGAAGGTAAGTGAACCTTGGATACTAAATATTTTTTAAATTGGTCTTCTCTTTGTTAAATAGTAAATTGATGGTAGAAAAGCCAGCAAATTAACTTTGTAAAGTATGTTGAAAGAAGGGACCTCTATATAAGTTTTTAATAAGTTAATAGTATCATACCTGTAATCCCAGCACTTTGGAAGGCTGAGGCAGGAGGATTGCTTGAGGCCAAGAGATCAAAAGACCAGCCTGGGTGACATAGTGAGACCCTCATCTCTTCAAAAAAAATTTTTTTAATTACCTGGGCATGGTGGTGTGCACCTGTAAGTCCCAGCTACTTGGGAGGCCAAGGCAGGAGGATTGCTGGAGGCCAGCAGATCAAGACCAGCGTGGGCAACATAGTGAGACCCTGTCTCTACAAAAAAATTAAAAATTAGCTGGGCATGGTGGCTCATGCTTGTAATTCCAGCTACTTGGGAGGCTGTGACAGGAGGATCTCAGGAATTTGAGGCAGCAGTGAGCTATGATTGTTGCACAGGCTGGAGTGCAGTGGCACAGAGTGAGACTTTCTCTAAATACATAAATAAATAAAAATTAATAATAGGATCAGAACCCTTGTGCCAAGGGTTATGGAATGGGGTCTAGTAGGAGTATAATTTAGAACAGTTTGAAAAAGGGTGTTTGTAAAATAGCTGGGACTGACCCCCTTAACAAATATTTGTAATCTGTGTGTGCCCCTATGTAAGTTAAAATTAATTTTTCAAAACTCGTGAAAACACCTGATGTGCTAGCTTTTGGTATACTTTCACTGAAGATTCAACAAATAAAACAGTAAACTTCAACTCAGTTCTCAAAGGGTAATTGTCCTAAGGATTGTGTAAATTTCTGCTTACAGATTGCTAATTGAAAATTTACTTTCATTTCTAAAGTGGGGTCACCAAATATCTTGTTCCCAGTAGTCACAAAGTCAGCTTTCTAGATGAGAGAATTGCTAAAAGTTGGCTAAGGTTTCTTACTAAACAAGAGTTGACATAAAGTCTGCTGTTGGAGCCTTAGAAGTACCCTGAGGAGATTGTGCCAGCAGAGATACTTGATCTTTCCATTGGCTCATGCAGTGTGTGGCAAGCAAGGCTTTAGAAAGTTACAGATATGACTGCCTAGCCCTGGGAACTGTAGGAACACAAGTTGCCCTTCAGGAAGGACAAGAATTTGGCCAATAACATCGGTTGACTGAAAGGCTGGTATTAACAAACCCCGAAGATTATAGTACTCAGTTCCCTTTAGCTTGAGGTTGGAAACATTTCAGATTGGATTTGATCACCTAAATCAGGCATTGGCAAACTTCTTTAAAGGGCCAAATAGTAAATATTTTAGGCTTTGTGGGCCATGTAGTGTTCAGCTCTGCTGTTGTAGCACAAAAGCAACCATAGACAATGTGCAAACAAGTAGGCATGGCTATGTTCCAATAAAACATTATTTACAAAAGCAGACATCAGGCCAAATTTGGCCTATGGTTTGCCAACCTCTGTTATAGACTCTTAGTTGCTAAAGAATTACTGTTCTTTGAATAAGAGGTTTGTAGTAAAGATCTGTTTTCTTTCTTTGAGGGGTCTGTGAAAATAATCTAGGATCTGTACAAGACGGAAAAATTTGAAGTGGTGCAATTTGGGTATACTTTGGGTCTTTTTAAGGCAGAAAACATGTTGAAACAACTATATCAGAAAAAGATCTCTAAGCTCAGAGAACTGAGTTTGCTTGACTATGAGATCATGAACAAGTCTCTAAAGCATTGCTGTGGAAGTGACTGTCCTCAACTTGAATCCCAGGGGTATTGTGAGGCTAAAAGGAAAATTAACATGGAGGGAAAAGTAAAGGACTCTTAACTATTTTTCAGGCTAACTCCTTTCTTACCTGTTGCTCCCACAGGCCCTGGATTATTGTCACAGCATGGGAATTATGCACAGAGATGTGAAGCCCCATAATGTCATGATTGATCATGAGCACAGAAAGGTAAAGTGATAGACGGACAAGTGTTATTTATCTCCGTGATGTAGTTAATTGCCCATCTTCAACACTTTATCCCTTGTCACAGACCCTAGTACCTATTCGGCCCTTGATAAATATTTGGTGAATGAATGAATTTACAAATCAATATGTTTGAACCATTATTTATATTCCTAAGAATGCTACCAAGAAGGAAACATTAGTGTAGTGGGCAAAATGTTCATCTTCTAAGCCCAGAAACGTGGCTTCTAGTCTTATTTGTTGAATAACTAGTTTACTGAGACACTACTTTGTCTTCATTTGCCTTCTTTTTCTTTCTTGTACAGTGTGGGTAATAATTGCCCTGCAGGCAACTAGGTATTCATGAGAATTAAATGTGCACAGTTAAGTGGATGAAATATACAGAAAATGCTATTTCTGTTAGTAGGTTGGTCATGAGGCCCCTATTGTCTACAAATGTTTTTACATGAGAGCTGTAATGGCCACATACTGTAACATTTCAGTTTTTTAAGGTGACCAAGCTATGATGACTTATCTGTTGTGGTCTTTGAGGAGGTAGGTGATTTGTTTATGCAACTAAATTTTTTAGGCACATAGTATGTCAAAGGCACCATTCTAGGGGCTAGGGATATATGAGTGAACTAAACATACAATAAATGCTTGTCTTTTAGGAGCTTACATTTAGGGAGGCTGGTGGGATAGAAAGTTATTTTGATGTGGAATCAAAAACAAGAATAGTGAATGGCAAGAGGGTATTTGCAGTTTTAAACCAGTTGTAAAGGAAGGTTTCACTGGAAAGGTGACATTTTAGAGAGCACTGGAAGGGACCCAGCCATGCAGTCTTACGAAGAAACATGTCCCAAGGCAGAGTAAATAGCAAGTACAAAATCCCTTGAGGTAAGGATGTGTTTGGCATGTTGGAAGAGCCTCAAGGATAAAGCTGGGACAGAATGAATGCAGGGAAAGAAGGAAATGAGATCAAAGAGGTAAAACCAAATCATGTAAAACCTTATTGGTCATTGTTAGGCCTTTTCTCTGAAGATAGAGAGCTTTTGCATATTCTTGCATATTCTTTTTTTTTTTGAGACAGAGTCTCGCTGTGTCGCCCAGGCTGACGTGATGTCGGCTCACTGCAAGCTCCGCTTCCCGGGTTCGTGCCATTTTCCTGCCTCAGCCTCCCGAGTAGCTGGGACTACAGGCGCCCACCATGGCGCCTGGCTAATTTTTTTGTATTTTTAGTAGAGACGGGGCTTTACCGTGTTAGCCAGGATGGTCTCAATCTCCTGACCTTGTGATCTGCCCGCCTCAGCCTCCCAAAGTGCTGGGATTACAGGCGTGAGCCACCATGCCTGGCCAAGCTTTTGCACTTTCTAAGCTTTGGCATGTTCTCACTTGAAATTTAACAGTTAACTACACATCTATTAGAACAGCTAAAATGAAAATGGTGATGGTACCAAGTGCTGACAAAAATGTGAAGAAACTTGATCTCTCATACATTGCTGGTAGGAATGTAAAGTTCAGCATTTTGGAAAATGCTAAACTGTTGTTTTATAGTTTGTTGGTTTCTTGAAAAGCTAAACATATGCTTACCATACAATCCTGTAGTGGCATTTATCTCAGAGCAACAAAATCTTAGGTCCACACAAAAGCCTGTATATGAATGCAACTATATTTTTAATAGCTTAAAATTGAGGGAAAAGGCTGGGCACGGTGGCTCAGGCCTGTAATCCCAGCATTTTGGGAGGCCAAGGCCGGCAGGTCACGAGTTCAGGAGTTGGAGACCAGCCTGGCCAACATGGTGAAACCCTGTCTCTACTAAAAAAATACAAAAATTAGCCGAGTGTGGTGGCATGCACCTGTAATCCCAGCTGCTCAGGAGGCTGAGGCAGGAGAATTGCTCGAACCCAGGAGGTGGAAGTTGCAGTAAGCCGAGATCGTGCCACTGCGTTCCAGCCTGGGTGACAGAGCAAGACTGCATCTCAAAAAAAAAAGGGGAGGGTTGGGGGGGGAAGTGCCCTTCAATGAGGGAATGGTTAAACAAACTGGCATATCCATACCATATATTATTATTATGAAGTAGTATTTCTCAACAATAAAAAGGAAAGAACTATGATACCTGCAACAACTTGGGTGGATCTCATGCTTAGTGAAAAAAGGCAATCTCAAAAAGAGTTATATGCCAATGACTCAATTTCTGTAGCATTCTCAAAATGGTAGAGATCAAGAACAGAGGGGTTGCCAGGGGTTGGGCTAACACAAGACGTGTGTGGTGATGGAACAGTTCTATATCTTGTTAAGATTATATGAATTTACACATATGATAAAATTGCATAGAAACACACACACAAACATGCGCGTGCATGTAACACTGGTGAAACCTGAATAAGATCTTTCTGAATTGTACCAATGTCAGTTTCTTGGTTTTGATATTGTACTGTAGTTATGTAAGATGTTACTATTAGGGGAAACTGGGTAAAGGGTACAGAGAATCTCTACTACTTTTGCAATTTCCTGTGAATCTATAATCTCTCCATAGCAACCTGAACAATCCTTTTAAAAAGCTGTTTATGTTTATTTTAAAATATTTATTTTTTAAATAACTATTAAACTATTTATTTAGTATTTATTAAACTGTTTAGAGGGCAAGAATGAAAGCAGTGAGACCGATTAGGAGAAGGGGCTATGGCAGTATATCAAACAAGACTTGGTGGTGGCTTGGATCAGGGCAGTGGCAGTGGAGGTGATGATAATGGTCAGAATATGGTAGAGGCTTCAGGATTTGTTGACAGATTAAATGTGAGGTCTGAGGGAAACAAGAATCCAGGGTGAATCTTAAGTTTTGGCTTATATGACAGGATGAATATCACCTTTAACTGAGCAGGGGGAGACTATGAGTGGAGGTAGTTTTGCACGGAGTAATCAAAGGTTTAGTTTTGAGATGTAGGCAGTAAACTTAGTGCCAGAGGAGTCCGATGTTATTCCTCAGGGCCTACAGCTGGCACTTCAGATCATGGTCGTACTGTGCACAGTGGGCAGATAAGCTTACCTCTTACCCCTTTTTCCATATTTAAGATGCGTTTTGGTAAAAGCTGTATTGTATGACTTTTCTGTTATTTCGTCTATCCAGCAAATATTTATTCATTTTTCTCCTGTATACCAGGCATTATGTTGAATTCTGAAAATTACAAAGGTGAATAAAACCCCCTAGGGCTTGTCATCCATATTGAAAAAGAAAGGTAGAAAACATGTAATAAAGAGTTTAGGTTCTGTTAAAGAAATATATCTAAAATTCAGGGGGCTGAAGGCAATGATCAGTTCTATCTAGATAATTAGAGAAGACTTCATTGAGGAGCTAACTTAAATATCCCAGAAGTTAAGGAGATGCTTACCAATAGGATTATAGGCTGGGTCGTAGGGACATTTTAGTCATTGAGCAGTTCAAGAAATTTGTAAAAGCACAAATGAGATTGTGTCTTTTAGGAACAAAATCATGGAGAAAGTTGTATGTCAAGCTGAGAAGTTTTGTTTTCATCCTGAAGGCCATAAGTAGTTAGTGAAGGGGTTTCAGTACAGAGTGGCGTATCTGGTGTATTTTATCAAGAGTATGCTAATGGCACAATGTGGGTATCTTAGAGAAAGATAAAATTGCTCATGATTTTTTCTTTTTCAGCTACGACTAATAGACTGGGGTTTGGCTGAGTTTTATCATCCTGGCCAAGAATATAATGTCCGAGTTGCTTCCCGATACTTCAAAGGTCCTGAGCTACTTGTAGACTATCAGGTGAGAAGAGAAGGGCAGGCATAATTTTGGTCCTGTGTTTATTTTGCACATAATTTACAAAAAAAAAAAAAGTATCATTTTGTGCGTTTAGGTGCTGGGATTACAGGCATGAACCACCGCGCCCGGCCTTTTGTTCGTTTTTTGAGGCAGGGTTTTCCTCTGTTACCCAGGCTGGAGTACAATGCCATGATCATAGCTCACTGCAGCCCCAAACTTCTGGGCTCAAGTGATCCTCCCAGCTTAGCCTCCTAAGTAGCTGGGACTACAGGCATGCGCTACCACATCCAGCTAATTTTTAATTTTTTGTGTATAGAGAGAAAGTATCACTATATTGCCCAGGCTGATCTCAAACTCCTGGGCACAACCCATCCTCCCACCTTGGCTCCCCAAAGTGCTGAGATGACAGGCATGAGCCACCATGCCCATCCTGTAACTAAGTTTAACCAATCTTCAGAGTAAATTCAAGAATGTTTTCTTGTTCTTCTGAATTGTATACTAAATATAAAGGTCTTTTCCCCAGCTCCCCCGAGAAGCCTTCTTTCTCCTCACAGAAAAAGGAGAAAGGAACCAAATTAATAATAGATTTGCCAAGTTTTAAAAATCTGAAGTTTTCTTGGGAGTATCTTTTATGCCAGTCTTTCCAAGTTATTACCAGTTGTTTTTAAAAGTTTCAGACTCTTTGTTCTTGTAGGAATTTCTTTCTTGGGATCTTAAGGCTATAGCCCTGAGCTCAAAAAGCATTTTATGCATAAAAATAGTTTGTACAGTATTACTAATAATTGTGAAAAACAGAACACTGTCCTGTTATAGGAAAATTAAAGATTAAATTCTGAAACATTTATGTAATAAAATACTAATGATACACATTAGATGGTCTCCATGGGCTAACAATTTGGAGGGGTTTTTTTTGTGTAAGTGAAGAAAACAATTCAAAATAGTATATTTATTAGCTGAGCATAGTGGTGTATGCCTGTAATCCTACCTCCTCGAGGCCTAAGCCCAGGAGTTGGAGGTTACAGTGAGCTATGATCATGCCACTACACTCCAGCCTGAGCAACAGAGCAAGACCCTGTGTCTTTAAAAAAAAAAAAAAAGCCAGGCACAGTGGCTCACGCCTGTAATCCCAGCACTTGGAAAGGCCAAGGCAGGTGGATCACGAGGTCAGGAGTTCAAGACCAGCCTGGCCAAGATGGTGAAACCCTGTCTCTACTAAAAATACAAAAAAATTAGCCGGGCATGGTGGTGGGCATTTGTAATCCCAGCTGCTCGGGAGGCTGAGGCAGAGAATTGCTTGAACCTGGGAAGCTGAGGTTGCAATGAGCCAAGATCACACCCCTGCACTCCAGTCTGTGCGACAGAGCAAACTCTGTCTCAAATAAAAAATTTTAAAAAGTAGGCCGGGCGCAGTGGCTCAAGCCTGTAATCCCAGCACTTTGGGAGGCCGAGACGGACGGATCACGAGGTCAGGAGATCGAGACCATCCTGGCTAACCCGGTGAAACCCCGTCTCTAGTAAAAAAATACAAAAAAATAGCCGGGCGAGGTGGCGAGCGTCTGTAGTCCTAGCTACTCGGGAGGCTGAGGCAGGAGAATGGCGTAAACCCGGGAGGCAGAGCTTGCAGTGAGCCGAGATCCGGCCACTGCACTCCAGGCTGGGCGACAGAGCGAGACTCCGTCTCAAAAAAAAAAAAAGTAAAAATTATCTTAAAACCTAGTGAAAGATGCGTGAAAGAAAAAACTAGCCAGGCGCGGTGGCTCATGCCTGTGATCCTAGCACTTTGGGAGCCTAAGGCGAGTGGATCATGAGGTCAGGCGTTCAAGACCAGCCTGGCCAACATAGTGAAACCTCGTCTCTACTAAAAATACAAAATTAGCTGGGCATGGTGGCACGCACCTGTAGTTCCAACTACTCAGGAGGCTGAGGCAGGGGAATCGCTTGAACCCGGGAGGTGGAGGTTGTGGTGAGCCACGATTGTGCCACTGCATTGCAGCCTGGGCAGCAGAGTGAGACTCTGTCTCCAGAAAAAAAAAAAAAAAAGGACTAAAAAGAAATAGATGAAGATGTTATTAGTGTTTTGATTTTGAGTCAGTGGAGTGATTTTTTTTTTTTATCTTTTATTTTGAAGTGACAAGCCTGGGGATTCACAAATAATAACAGTGAGTTTACTTTTATGCAGATGTACGATTATAGTTTGGATATGTGGAGTTTGGGTTGTATGCTGGCAAGTATGATCTTTCGGAAGGAGCCATTTTTCCATGGACATGACAATTATGATCAGGTAATATATGTTATACCTATTGAAAAATTCACTGGTCTAATGCACTGATAGACGGGACTGCCTATAATTTCCAGTTCACTGTTTGTTCGGCCACCCTGATATTGATCCTTAGATTGATGTTTTGGGAGCTACCAGCTTAGCCTTTTGAAATCAGACTTTCCCTCTTAGTCCTTGTCGTTTGCATTGCTTGTTTTATTGTGAAGAATACATACAAATTGTCATCCAGATTTTTAAAATAGGACATTACCTTAGAATTCTCCTAATACAACGTTATTCTCCAATACGAAGTTTTCTCTAATATGTTAGCCTATTATTTCTGTGATCCTTTTGTCTCTTTATATGGGTTGAGTTATAGATGTTTCTTAAACTAACTCCACTTCCCCCTTGAAGATCAAAGGGCTCTTTCATTCACAAGAACCTGGAATGATTCTAGGACCTTGTGGAAGGTACCATTGCCTTGTTCCCTTTGAGTGCCGTGTCCAATTTTAATGTATTTAAAGAATACAACCTGAATTCCATTAAAGTCAATAACTCTGTATCAAGTCATGCAGTACTGAGGAATACAGAAAAAGAAAGAATAGTTCTGCCCTTGAGTAGTTCATAGTTGATCTTGTAAGGGAGTCAAACATACAACAAAATAGATTATAGTCATAACTTCAGAGTAGAAGTGTGGACAAGGCACAAAAGGCAGTAGCGATGAGTGGTTTGAGTGTGCAATGGGAGCTTCCCAAAAGAAGTGACATCTTCAATTGGGTTTTGAGGGGAGAAAAGAGTTCGCCAGGATGACATTTCAAGAGAAAGAAACCGGTTTATAAAGTAGTTTGCTTTTTCTAACACTATCCCATTGAGTTGAAGTCTAAAACTGTTAGGAGGCAGCATTCATACCTATAGACATGATGACCCCTTTATGTTAATTCAGTCATTATTAATTGTTGATTTGATTATATAATATGCTTGTGGTATGGGTTTTTGTCTTTCTTTAATACTAGTTGGTGAGGATAGCCAAGGTTCTGGGGACAGAAGATTTATATGACTATATTGACAAATACAACATTGAATTAGATCCACGTTTCAATGATATCTTGGGCAGGTAAGTCATGAAACAAAATACGTGCGTCTGTGGCGTAAGCACTTTGGGTGTGAACTGGCACTTAGGATCTTCAAAACAGTTACATTCTCTTCACCAACACTGTCAGAATGTCAGTGGTCCAGTGCCACAGGATGCTGCATTGAGCAGGCCTCTGATAAAGGCATTGCATTGAATGGCCCTTTATTCAAATTCACTTATAGGAGTCTGATGGAGGGATTATAGCTAGAGGATTCCTACAAAATGAATGAAGTATAGATTCTAGTAGAAGGGTTACATTTGAGGCAAAAATCAAAATCTGTCTTCATTTACCTTGCTTCTTTAAGTGAAAAACCTCTCTCCAAGAGAAAGAAATTGAAATAGAAAATGCATGCTTTAAGACTGATGTGCAGGCTGGGCACAGTGACTTATATCTGTAATCCCAGAACTTTAGGAGGCCAAGGCAGGAGGATCACTTGAGCCCCAGAGTTGGAGACCAGCCAGGGCTACATAATGAGACCCTCGACTCCATGAAAAAATAAAAAGTCAGCCCTGGATGGTGATGTGTGCCAGTAGTCCAGACTACCAGGAAGCTGAGGCAGGAGCTTCCCTTGAGCCCAGGAGGGAGTGCTGCAGAGAGCCGTGAACATGTGGCTGCACTCCAGCCTGGGCAACAGTGAGACCCTATCTCACAAAAAAAAAAAAAAAAAAAAAAAAAAAAACTATATGCAGACAACCAACTCTAACAGTAGTGACTAGATACAGTACTTAAACACTTAACCATTTAACAGAGGGAGACGGACTTTCCTGATGCAAAGGCTTTTTCTGGCCAAGTGGCAGAGATGCCAGGAATATGTGTGGGGATGGGAAATAGGCCTGGTGAGCTCAGCCGTCTGACCCTCCTTGCTACACAGAAGCAGTCACGTCCTGTCAAGTAACCTGAATTATGTTTCTTAAAACTGAGAGGACTCAGATGTCTTTATTTACTCTACCTATGTTATTTCCAGTCTCCAGTTAGTTTTGTTGTCCCACTCAGTGGCACAGTGGTGCAAGATTACTCTCTTGAGTTTTGATCCCTCTTTGCTTTTGGCTGGGCTTTTAGCCACTAAGAAAAATGTAGAAATGAAATGTCGAACTTCTCTGCCCACGTGGCCCGTTTCTCATTCCCTCTTTTGGTCCTGCAGACACTCTCGAAAGCGATGGGAACGCTTTGTCCACAGTGAAAATCAGCACCTTGTCAGCCCTGAGGCCTTGGATTTCCTGGACAAACTGCTGCGATATGACCACCAGTCACGGCTTACTGCAAGAGAGGCCATGGAACACCCCTATTTCTGTGAGTCCAGATATCTAGCCCACTAAGTTTGTGTAGGCCCAGAGTCCTATAGAACAGTCGTAATCCCAGCTCCTGTTGGCTTGCTGCAAAGTTAATTCACCCACACTGAGCCTCAGATTCTTTCAGTGGGGATAGTGATGGCAACTACATTGCAGAATTTTTGGAAGAATTCTTCTCTAATAGAATACATGACACAAGAGCATTGCTAAATACACTTCTTTCATACTGTGAGGATGACACCTCAGTCTGGAATGGTTTGAATTAGAATACACAGCCCTGTATCTGTCCTTTCTCTAGTAATCACTCATTGGAAAGGGCTAATGAGGCTTACAAATCTTAATATTGTATGAACACCTTGACTTAGATTTGCGAATATAGCCACCTGTGCCTTTCTAAGTGAAAATACCACTTAGATCCACCCCATCCTTACTGTGATGTTAGCTACAACATTACATTTTTCCTTTGGTAATAGTGTAATGGTTTTCTAGTGAATCATTTATACTTTTGCCCAGTCTCCTGTACCTGAAGCAGACAGACAGGCTGATTGGGATAGAGAATGTGGTCATAGCCCTAACCTACATGGACCTATAGCTTTGTCCTACTTGGTACTGAGCTGTGGGCACACTGGTAATATATTACTGTCTTTGCCAAGTTGCAGTGTCTTGTCTCCATTAAACCTCAACAGGACCAGCTTCATTTTAAATTAGCTCTACTATAAATAATTACCTCATCTTTCTACCATTTGGTTGAAGGGTTAGCTTTTACCACAGTTTGATAGGAAAGCTATTTCTATTTTTTACCACTTGTCTAATGGTGAAGGCAATTGCCACCTTAAGTTCTTTGGGGAATAATGTAGAGTATAAATAAAACGCAAAGAATGAAGCTGGCTGCTTTCAGGCTCCCAGACCATTAGTTTAATCTTTCAAGCAAAACAGAACCTAGCCTTTTTGTCTCTTTTTTAGACACTGTTGTGAAGGACCAGGCTCGAATGGGTTCATCTAGCATGCCAGGGGGCAGTACGCCCGTCAGCAGCGCCAATATGATGTCAGGTCAGTTCATTGGTAAATTTTCTTCAAAAAAATGTGGAAGTCAATTACTATTCTTAGCTTTGTGATCTGATTTCTTGTATACCTTTTCTCTCTGTACTGGTGGCCTTATGACTTTTTTTTAACCAGGTTTCAGCATGCTTGACACTTGGTATACTTTAATAAAACTGTCTTGAGTAGGGTGTCCCCTTCTAGGCTAGAATTCCAGCATTCCTAACTGAAAATTTCTGGCATAGGGGTTTGAAAATGCCAAGCCATGAAAAGGAAAAACACCATTTCATCTTATAGTTTGAAATGACAGTAGTTACGTGGCCCTTAGAAACAATGTTAAGAAATGGGTATAGAGGTGGGGTTTGTGCATAGGTGTATATGTGTACAAGGACAGTTTTGTGTTATTTGCCACAGTAACTATAGAGTGCCTATCAGTTGTAAAAACATAAGTAAAATTGTTTTTCATTATTGAATCATTATGATGTATAGTGAATCTTTATAGAGGACCCAGTTATTCCAAAGGAACTACAGGCACATAGCATGAGAATTAGACATGTAGGCAACATCCAAGTGGGTGCACTGTGGTAGTGAAGGCATTTACTTACATACCCTCAAATAATTGCTGTTCCCCTCCCCCTTTTTTTAAAAAAAAAGAACTAGCTGCCTTCTAGAATTTACCCCTTGAGTATCCTACCTCTGTACAGAGTAATGTATATCCAAACTTACTTGTAGCCTTATTTGTAATAACAAAACATTGAGAATAGCTATCAGTAGGAAACTGGTTAAATCAATTATGGTATATCCATTTAATGGACTATGATGCAGCCAGAGAAAAGAATGAATAAGTGTTTCATGTTCTGTTAGATCTCCAACTCCAATATAATAATGTGAAATTTAAAACGCAAGATGCAGGGCCAGGTGCAGTGGCTCATGCCTGTAATCACAGCACTTTGGGAGGCTGAGGCAGTTGGCTCACTTGAGGTCAGGAGTTGGAGACCAGCCTGGCCAGCATGGCAAAACCCTGTCTCTACTGGAAATACAAAAAATTAGCTGGGCATGGTGGCAGGCTCCTTTAATCCCTCCTTTAATCCCAGCTACTTGGAGGCTAAGGCAAGATAATCGCTTGAACCTAGGAGGCAGAGATTGCAGTGAGCCAAAATTGCACCCACCGCTGCGCTCCAGCCTGGGTGAGCGTGAGAGTCTGTCTCAAAAAAAGTGAGATGCAGAGCCAGGTCTAAGAGCAGGAGTGGAGAAGAATGTATAAATAGTGTTCTCATATATGATTTTTTTTTTTTTTTTTTTTGAGACGGGGTCTTGCTCTGTCACCCGGGCTAGAGTGCAGTGGCACAGTTTCAGCCACTGCAGCCTCTGCCTCCTGGGTTCAAGTGATTCTCCCACCTCAGCCTCCTAGGTAGCTGGGACTGCAGGCGCCTGCCATCATGCCCAGCTAATTTTTGTATTTTTAGTAGACATGGGGTTTCACCATGTTGACCAGGCTGGTCTCGAACTCCTGACCTCAAGTGATCCAGCCAGCTCAGCCTCCCAAAGTGTTGGGATTATAGGCATGAACGACTGACTGCACCTGGCCTATATATGATTCTTATATGCATATTCTTATAAAATTATATTCATGTACATGTGTTAAATATCTCTGGAAGGATATGCCCCCAAAAATGGTGCCATAATTTGGCCAAGCAGTAGGGTGTGGGAGATTTTTCACTGTATACTTTTTTGGGTTTTTTGTTTTGTCTCACTCTGTTTCCCAGGCTGGAGTGCAATGGTGCGATCTTGGCTCACTGCAACCTCCGCCTCCTGGGTTCAAGTGATTCTCCTGCCTCAGCTTCCCAAGTAGCTGGGATTACGGGCATGTGCCACACCGCCCAGCTAATTTTTTTGTATTATTAGTAGAGATGGGGGGGGGTTCACCGTGTTGGCCAGGCTGGTCTTGAACTCCTGACCTCAGGTGATCCACTCATGTCAGCCTCCCAAAGTGCTGACATTATAGGTGTGAGCCACTACACCTGGCCTTTGTATACTTTTTTAACCTTTTGTATTTTGAATCATGTGAATTTATTACCTGTGTGTGTACACACACACACACACACACACACACACGATTAGAGAGGTAGAAGAAATCAAATGGAAATAAATTCCAAAACACAATTTTAGCTTAGACAGAAAGTGCTCTTTCCCCATTCAAATTGACTTTTAGTAATTTTGAAAGCAGCTATCAAGACAGCATGGTGTAAGAGCACATGAGCTTTGACTGCAGTCCTGTGCTGTTCAGTATGGTAGTGACTAGCCATATGAGGCTATTTAATTGCAATTGAATAAAATTTAAAATGTAGTTCCTCAGTTGCACTAGCCGTATTTCAAGTGCTCAGCAGCCACATGTGGTTGGCTACTGGTCACCTGGTTGGACATCTCTGCCCTAGACAGGCCTGGGTTAGAATCCAAACCATGGTTGCCACTTGCTAATCGTGTACCTTGGACAAACTCCTTAAGCTGTCCAAGTCTAGATATCTTTACCTGCCTCTTAAATTGATTAGGACTTGCCACTTTAACTTGAATATTTGAGGATCAGACTTGAAGTATAAGTAAAAATCTGGCTAAGAAGAAGTCTTCAATAAAGAATTATTGTGTTCCTTTTGCAGTGAGTGCTATGAGAAACTGGTAATATTGCCATGGTTGGTGTCTTTGGCTCACTGACAGCTGTTTTCTTTCAGGGATTTCTTCAGTGCCAACCCCTTCACCCCTTGGACCTCTGGCAGGCTCACCAGTGATTGCTGCTGCCAACCCCCTTGGGATGCCTGTTCCAGCTGCCGCTGGCGCTCAGCAGTAACGGCCCTATCTGTCTCCTGATGCCTGAGCAGAGGTGGGGGAGTCCACCCTCTCCTTGATGCAGCTTGCGCCTGGTGGGGAGGGGTGAAACACTTCAGAAGCACCGTGTCTGAACCGTTGCTTGTGGATTTATAGTAGTTCAGTCATAAAAAAAAAATTATAATAGGCTGATTTTCTTTTTTCTTTTTTCTTTTTTTTTTTTTTTAACTCGAACTTTTCATAACTCAGGGGATTCCCTGAAAAATTACCTGCAGGTGGAATATTTCATGGACAAATTTTTTTTCTCCCCTCCCAAATTTAGTTCCTCATCACAAAAGAGCAAAGATAAACCAGCCTCAATCCCGGCTGCTGCATTTGGGTGGAGATTTCTTCCCATTCCCACCATTGTCCTCCACCATCCCACACTTTAGGGGGTTGGTATCTCGTGCTCTTCTTTAGAGATTACAAAAATGTAGCTTCTCAGGGGAGGCGGGAAGAAAGGAGGCAGGAAGGAAAGAAGGAAGGGAGGACCCAATCTGTAGGAGCAGTGGACTGCTTGCTGGTCACTTACATCACTTTACTCCATAAGCGCTTCAGTGGGGTTATCCTAATGGCTCTCGTGGAAGTGTGTCTTAGTTACATCGAGATGTTGAAAATCTACCCGAAATGCAGACAGATACTAAAAACTTCTGTTCAGTAAGAATCATGTCTTATTGATCTAACCCTAAATCCAACTCATTTATAATTTTAGTTTTAGTTCAGTTTAAAATTTTGATACCTTCCCTCCCAGGCTCCTTACCTTGGTGTTTTCCCTGTTCATCTCCCAATATGCTGTGCTCCATAGCTGGTAGGAGGGGGAAGGCAAAATCTTTCTCAGTTTTCTTTGTCTTGGCCATTTTGAATTCATTTAGTTACTGGGCATAACTTATTGCTTTTTACAAAAGAAACAAACATTGTCTATACAGGTTTCATGCTAGAGCTAATGGGAGATGTGGCCACACTGAGTTCGTTCCATTTTAAGCTTTCTACCTTCTTTTCCTCTGACCTTCCCCTTCCCTCACATGCCATCCAGTGAGAAGACCTGCTCCTCAGTCTTGTAAATGTATCTTGAGAGATAGGAGCAAAGCCACTATCTCCATTGAAGCTGAAATGGTAGACCTGTAATTGTGGGAAAACTATAAACTCTCTTGTTACAGCCTTGCCACCCCTTGCTGTGTGTATATATATAATACTTTGTCCTTCATATGTGAAAGATCCAGTGTTGGAATTCTTTGGTGTAAATAAACGTTTGGTTTTATTTATCAAGGTTAGATTTAAGTTCCCTGTGTAAAGGTCTTGCTGGGTGGGTGTCTCATGTTCACATCTGAGGGGCCTGCAGCCCTGTACCGTGGAGGCTTCCCAAGGCCCCCACTTTTATACACCCCTCGTTCGACCCATGGTACCGGGCAGGGCAGAGAGGCCTTAAAAAAAAGCACCACAAGCCAAAGCGTCTCTGGGGATTAAGGATCCTTTGCCATAAAACTCATTTTGTGTCTCAGCAGTGCAGGGATTGGGGATGGAAAAAGTCGCCAGTTTTTGTGTGTTTGTGTGTGTGTGTGTAAAGTGGACTTTCCACTGTAATCCAACCACCTAAGTTTATCAGGTGCTTCACTGAGGAAGCCTAGTTTTTTAAGCACAATAGCAAAACCATCAGCTCTGTATTTTCTCCTGTTAATTCATTACAGTAGCTGCTTGTGGGAACTAGGAAAAATTCTTCCAACATACTTTAAGGCCTAAAATCTTAGTTCCCCATTCTCCTACCTTTATAGATTCACAGGCCTTTCTCACCTAGGCATCATAGGTAAACGTAATTGTTTGGGGAGTTGAATTTAATGAACTTATCTAACTTTGTAACCCATCTTGGCTTTAGTAACTTTATCAAGGTGGTGGCTTTAGTGAATTTAATGGTTAACTTTAGAGGACGCTAAAGCCTCCTTTCATAGCGCTTCTCAACGATAGGGAGAGTTGAAGGGAAAACATTCTGACTGTGTGGCAGGGTGATTTTCTTCCTTATGACCACTTACAGTGGATATTTATTGTACTTGACCCTTTTATGCCCTAGAATGCTGTGAGGGTTACCATGTTGAATTTGTGCAGAAGCTAAAAGCACCAGATGTGCCAGAGATGCAATTTGTGATTATGTTTGCACTGGATTGTGATTTGAACAGGACACTTATAACTAATGAGTTCTTTCTTTTGAGGTGGGGAGAGGGTTGTAAATCAAGACTTCACACCCGATCCTTGTAGCTCGGAAATTTAGGTTTGGCTTAGGCTGATGCGGAGAGCTGCAGACAGCTGGACCTCCTTACACCCATCAGACCTTGGAAGAAACCGAAGGTGAATGCAGAGGACTCTGAGGTGCCACCCAAGAGCCTTTTAAAATAAATAGAAGTTTTTAAAAATGCTACTTAGAGTCACTGCAGAAGCATGGAGAGAGAAAAACAAAAAAACAAAAGACCCAGTTGGGTGGGGGGTGGGGGGGAGGCAAGGGTTTACAGAGTAACAACTTATGTGTTGTTGTAAATTACCTCATCTGTATACCTTGTATTGGGACACTTTATTTCTCAGCACTACCTGTGTCTGCATTGCTTAGATGGCAGGAGATGGAATGGCCGATATAAAAAGTTATGTTGGCAATTACTCTGAAAGATTTTTTAAAGTATTTTTAAACTTTGTTTGAAGTGGTCCCTCCCCTCTTCCTCTGCTTTTCTTTAAGTTTGAAGCCAGAAGTCCCTCCCCCACCTTGATTTATTGGTTGTAATTGTATTGTAATTGGTATAACTAAAACATAATTGTGCTGGGAAGAAGTTGTGCCATGAAGGTCTTTAATTTTTTTTTTTTTAATAAAAACATTTAAATAAATGAAATGTCCCTGCAGCCTGAGCAATATGCTTCTCCAACCGACACCGTGTGTGATAGATGGCTCAGTTTTCACGTTTTGAATTCTGTTTCTTGTACTTGAAATGCCTGTCCAACTTACATGAGATAGATTAAATTGTTAGAGTGGGACTGGTCAGACAATATATTTTGTAAAGTAGATCCTCAGGGTATGGCTAATTACTATAGTCCTAAAGTAGCAGAGAAAATTAGAGATTGGTTGACAGATGTGGGCATTTTAATTTCTTCTCAGTTTTTAACTTTCATCTTTGCCTCACCTTTTGACAAGTATGGTTATAATTAGAACTGACCATTTAAGTATCTCTTGAAAAACCTAATTTTGTCCCACCAGGAGATTCTCTCCCAAGATTGGAATTGGGTTTGCATAGTAGAGAGGCTGTCTTCCCATGGCCTTTTCCTAGTTGAAGAAACACTTAACCAAAAAGGCTATGTAGTAAGGTCATCCTCAGTTCCTTCCTCAAAAAATGAGTCTAAATTTTTTTTACCTTGAGTCCTGCTTCCCCTACTGTCATCACTATCCTTGCCCTTCTTTTTCCTCAGAATACCTGAACTTTTGTTGTGTTATTTTGTGTCTCCCCACTTGCATGTAAACTCCCTGGTGACCTTGCATGTCTTATGCAATCCTCATTAAAACCTTTTGTTTTGTTTTGTTTTGTTTTGTTTTGTTTTTTAAGTAGGTTCATTTTCCCTCAGGATCGAAGAGTATTGAATAGAATGGCACAAGAAAAATGCTCAACACCCCACTTGGCTTGTAATAATAGGTGCTTAATAAATTGTAGTTCCACTCTCCACTCCATTGCCACCCTCTTTACTCTCCCTACACACACACACACACACACACACACACACACACACAAAGTAAAAGAAAGTATTGTTGCATAAAGAGCATCTCAAAATAAGAACTTTGTCCTTGAATTTGCAGCTGTAATTACAAGCCACAGGCCAGACTGAACTAACATGAGAAGTAACTTTATTTAAGAGACCCTGATAAATAGGTATCTGAAGGCTAAGGAATGATCCTGGCCAATTTAGTAGACTTAGGTGCTTCAGTCTCCCTGCTTTTCCCTTGCTATATTACCTGTATGTAATATAGGTTGAATATCCCTTATCCAAAATGGTTCAGACCAGAAGTGTTTTGAATTTTTTTGGACTTTGGAATATTTGCAGAATATATACCAGTTGAATATTCCTAATCTGAAATTTGAAATATTCCAATGAGCATTTACTTTAGGCATCATGTTGATGCTCCAAAATTTTAAGATTTTTGAGGATTTTATATTTTCAGATTAGGAATGCTCAACCTGTAATAGAAAATTCAGACTATTCTCCAAGTAAAACAGATATGTAGAAGGTGTCACAAGATGTTCTGGACTCAATCCTAAGTAAATAAGTACTTCCTAGACTTTATAGCTCTCCTTTGATTCTGTGCTAAATTTAACCATCAGATAAGCAATGTAATGTTACTGCAAGTGGCCTACCTCTAATAGAGTTCTGTCTGGCAATGTGATTTTTTGGATCAGTTAACCTCACTGAATCTTTTCTTCACAGGTGATTTAAATTGTTATTGTAGCTGGGCGCGGTGGCTTGCACCTGTAATCCCAGCACTTTGGGAGACCAAGGCAGGTGGATCATGAGGTCAGGAGATGGAGACCATCCTGGCTAACACGGTGAAACTAACTAACACGGTGTATCTACTAAAAATACAAAAAATTAGCCAGGCGTGGTGGCGGGCGCCTGTAGTCCCAGCTACCCGGGAGGCTGAGGCAGGAGAATGGCATGAACCCGGGAGGCGGAGCTTGCAATGAGCCGAGATCGTGCCACTACACTCCAGCCTGGGCAACAGAGCAAGACTCCGTCTCAAAAAAAAAAAAAAACCAAAACTGTTACTGTAAAACATTCTAGGCATGTACCAAATTATAAAGAAAGCTGTAACACATCCATAATCCTACCACCCAAGTTGAATTTCCATTACCAATACAGACCACGCCCCCCCTTTTGCCCTTTTTTGGTGATACCCTCTTCCTCCCTTCCCCAGAGGTCCCAATATTTTCTCTCTGTTAAATTGGAGTATAAGTACTGATTTCATAGAGTGGTTGTTCAGGTTCGATGACAGATGTCTGGCATATGGTAGAGTTACACCAAATGTTAGTTTCTCTTCTGAATTGTACAGTTGTGCAGACTGTACAGTAAAAGGATGCTACGTTATAGGGAAGCCATAGATGTTTGCATTTGGAAAATTTCTGATGCTTTTCCAGCAGATGGCAGTAAAGTGTCTTTACTAGAAGAAAAAAAACCCAAGCCTTAAACATGACAGGTTTTCAACGGGTACAAGTCAAGTTTCTGATTGCGTGAAGGCCAGCATTGCCTTGTTCCCACTCCCTCTACAGAAAGCCAGATATTTTTGCACTGTAGCAAATTACAAACTGAACTTGTCTCCCTGTGGCTATAATCACTAGAGGTCATTTGTTTGTTTGCTTTGTTTTGTTTTTTGAGATGGGTCTTTCTCTGTCACCCAGGCTAGAGTACAGTAGCACCATCACAGCTCACTGCAGCATCAACCCCTCAGGCTCAGGTGATACTCCCACCTCAGCCTTCCAGGGTCTACAGGCTCGAGCTAGCATGCCTGGCTTTTTTTGTTTGTTTTTTTGTTTTTTTGTGGAGATGAGATTTCACCATGTTGCCCAGGCTGGTCTTGAACTCCTGAGCTCAACCAATCTGCCCGCCTTGACCTCCCAAAGTGCTGAGATTACAGGCATGAACCACCACACCTGGCCCACTAGGGATTCTTGCTGACTTCAATGTAAGAAGCCTTTCCCCAGGTACCTCCAGATGGAAGCTTACAGGTTGGTCTATCCGTTTCTTAGAGATGTTCTGGAGGGGATTGAGTATTTCTGAATCAGCTTCACTCTTGCATCATCTGCTTTGACAGTTTTCTTGGCTCCTGTAATGAGAAAAAGGGGGGGAAATGCAGCAGCAGCTGAGGCTGGCTTCCTCATCCCACCCTAGGAATCAGAGTCTCAGCTGTTGATAAACATTTCTAGCCATACCTGGAAAGAGAGCACCTTGCTTCTGTGTGTTGTATGGTTCCAAGAACTCCATGGTGAACTTCCTATGACAAACCCTCGATAACCCTCAAGTCTTCAAATCTGATGGTATACCTCATTCTGTTCCCCCGTCTCTGGCATTCCTCACCCACCCACGCTAACTGGTCTTTCCGAAGTTCATTTCTATAATATAGGATGTCCTTGGATTCAACAAACATTTGTAAGTGCCCCTGAGCCTGGTCCTTTGCTAAACACTGGGGATTGAGAGATGAGACACAAGCCCATGGGGAAATGTATGTTGTTAATTAGAAAAGTGAAAAACAAAATTGTATATATGGGATAATTCCAACTGTTTAAAAAAAAAAAAATCCTAGGAAAAATGCAAATTTCCAAATCAGCATGGTTGACTGAGCTAACTCAGGTAGGTACCCACCTCTTAAACCCCCATTTATTTGAATAAATGGGGATGCTGACCAAAGTAGCATCACTTACTTTTCAAATAGCCTATTTCAAAGACAGAAATAGAAATCTCAAGGTGGCAAAAAAGAAGGCAGAATTCGTCCTGAATATAAGTGGGGTTTTTTTGTTTGGTTTGGTTTGGGTTTTTTTGTTCGTTTGTTTTGTTTCTGAGACAGAGCTTCGCTCTTGTTGCCCAGGCTGGAGTGGAATGGCGCGATCTCGGCTCACTGCAACCTCTGCCTCCCGGGTTCAAGCGATTCTTCTGCCTCAGCCTCCCAAGTAGCTGGATTACAGGCATGCGCCACCACGCCCAGCTAGTTTTGTATTTTCAGTAGAGACGGGGTTTCTCCATGTTGGTCAGGCTGGTCTCGAATTCCCGACCTCTGGTGACCCGCCCGCTTCGGCCTCCCAAAGTGCTGGGATTACAGGTGTGAGCCACTGCCCCTGGCCTAAGTGAGTATTAAAGTCACAGTGTCTCCAAGACAATAGGTCTGGGTATAGGTGGGCCTCAGGCTAGGGACTAAGGTTTGAATGCCCCCAGGGAGATAGGACACAGACTCAGGGCCTTCTAAGATAGAAACTGAAACAATGCTGTGGCACTTGGAAAGGCTGCAGGGGTGGGATTGAGGTGGTGGGGGGCGGTAAAAACTGGAAGAATACTAGCTGTTGTTGCCTCTGGGAGATGAGGTTGATACCACTGAAGGCCCACATGCTTGCGGTTGGAACACTTTGGGAGCCCAGGAGTCCCAGACCAGCCTGGACAACATGGCGAAAACCCATCTCTACAAAAAATAGATTAGCTGAATGTGGTGGTGTGTGCCTGTGTCCCAGCTACAGGGGAGGCCAAAGGATGAGAATTAATTGCCTGAGCCCAGGAAGTCGAGGCTGCAGTGAGGTGTGATTGCACCACAGTACTTGAGCCCAAGTGACAGAGCAAGACCCTGTCTAAAAAAATTTTAAGTCACGGAAGCGGGGTGTGGTGGTTCATACCTGTAATCGCAGCTCTTTGGGAGGCTGAGGCAGGAGGATTGCTTGAGGCTGAGATTTGGAGACCAGCCTGGGCAACATAGGGAGACCCCGTCTCTACCAAAATTAAAAATTAGCTGGATGTGGTGGTACATGCCTATAGTGCTAACTACTATGGAGGCTGAGGCAGGAGGATCACTTGAGCCCAGGAGTTCAAGGCTGCAGTGAGCTATGATAGTGCCACTGCACCCCAGACTGAGCAAGAGTGAGAAACCCTGTCTGTAAAAGAAGTTGTTATTAATTGAAAAAAGATTTAACAGACTGGGTGCAGTGGCTCACACCTGTAATCTCAGCAATTTGAGAGGTGGAGGCAGGCAACTCACTTCAACTCAGGAATTCAAGGCCAGCCTGGGAAACATGACGAATCCCTATCTCTACCAAAAAAATACACAAATTAACTGGGCATGGTGGTGCATGCCTGTAGTCCCAGCTACCTGGGAGGCT